CTTAAAGTTGGCACCCAAAGTACATGTACCAGAGTCGGATTGTTCCCCTGTTCTATTACTGAGCCCCATTTCGTTCACTCCAGGCAGACCCTCAACCAAAACCGTACACCCCTCTAAGGTGTCAGTCGGTGCTCTTAAGTAACACGGTATGCTGCGCACCTCTCTTGGCAATATCATGGTTGGGTTTCTGCCTGTACGCGCAGCTACTGGTCCCTTACCAGATGTCTCCTTGACTATATTTTCAGTTTCAGTTTGGTCCAATCCCCTTGAAAACCCATACCACTGTAATGCCAATGACCATGCACCAGCGTCTTCATGCTCGGGTTCTATTGTAAGATCTTTCAGTAAGTGCAGTACGTTGCATCCAAGCAACACTGGACAAGGTCTATGTTTTGGGTCAGCCTCCACAGAATCCTTCACTACTAAAAAATGGCCTACAACTGTGTAGTTGTAAACACTCAAAGGGACTTCAACATACCCCTCAATGGGTAGTTCAACGCAACTTGCTCCAAAAACTCGCAAATGCGTCCCTATCTGTTTCAATCCGGCCATCTTTTTAGCTAGATTCTCCCTGTAGAAAGATGCAGAAATCAGAGACGCCTCCGCTCCGGTGTCAAGTACACATGTGGTTTTGACGCCTTTGGACTTTCTCGCACCAACTTAGAGAGCACCTCATCAATGGAAGACTCTGACTGCACCCTTCCACATTGGGAATCTCCATTTTGTGAGGCCTTTTGGACCTTGTCCTCCACCACTCGGCCTACAGTTGTGGAGCATGGGGGTTTAACCCCTCCCCGACTACTTTACCCTGCACATTACTACTTAACTGTGGTTCGCGTGATGGCTGAGCTGTTGTCGCTGCCTCCTTAGCTATTCTGCGCTTGCAATGAGCCTTGATATGCCCTGGTTTCTTACAGTAAAAACAAACCAGAGGTGGTCTGTTCCCGGCAGTATCCGATACCCACGGAATTTTCGCATCTTGCCCTACATGTACATGTTTCAACAATGTATTCAACTGCTCCTGTTGCTTTAACAACATACCCTGTTGTGACTGGAGACATCGCAACAGCTCTTGCTGTTGTGCTAACACCTGTTGCAACTGGTCATTATTCCTATTAACTGAAATTTCATTGACCTTGACCCCCGGTGTACTATCTTCAGCCTCAGGTGATACACTTTCAGCTGACACCTGGTGCACTTGACTCCGTTTGGGGCGTGACCCCCCTTCAATGTCACGGAAAAGTTCCCGTGCTGCATCGCGCATCTCACTGAAACTTTGGGAAGGTTTGGCTAACTCAAGCCTGCGCAGCTCCAGCCTAACAGATTTAATTCTAGCACCAGCGACAAACTGGCTGATTAATACCCTGTCGCGTAACCCCTTGAGGGCGCCCTTCTCGCCTTCTGTCGCGACTTCAAGGATTCGATCATGAAGTCGCATAAGCGATCTAGAAAAATCCATCAGTGATTCTTCCTCCCTTTGAGTGCGCTCATAGAGGGCTTCTTGAAGAGACTGAACAGTCTCGTCCGCACCAAAACTCCTCTTAAGCAGTTTCTTTAGGGAAGCAATATTGTTTTTAATTTCATCCCCATGGCACTTAATCTCCTCCCGGGCTACCCCTGTTAAATGCTGAATAACAACCTTTGCTTGCTCATCCTCCGGGATACTGCATTGCTGAATGTACACATCTACTTCATCTAACCATTCTATTATAGTGGGGTCCCCTGCCCTTGTGGGTTTACCCGAAAACTTTGAAAGCTTGATTGGGCGCTGTGATACAGCCCGAGGCTTATCCTGCTTTAGGGCATTTGTCAGCCCTGTCACCAACTGGGTTATCAAATCTGTTTCTGAGTTAGCCATAATATTTGCTTCTGTGCCAAACAAAAATCCCTCAAGCACTCTCAATCAAACTTTCATAACTTGGGACACACTATTGCATATGTACACAGGTAAATGAGATAATGGGCAAACTACATGTATTAGGCAGACTTCAAACACACCTCGACAATACAACAACTGGGTATTTTGTGTTTTCAGGGCAACCCTTAATGAAATTATAGCCTACGTACTGTTCAACATACAATTAAAGGTGAAAGTTCATTAATCAGTCCTGCAGTTACAATACCATGAGCTGTTTCACCAGTCGATCCAGGCCGGAGACTTGTCAATCCTCAGTTCATCCACCGCAGCGTTGAACCGTCACTCCAGTACAGCAGGTGTAGCCGACTTGACTGTTGCCCTCTCGAGCTCCCCACACCAGTAGGCCCAGTCCAAGCGAGTCTCGGACATCAAGCTTCACGCCTCTGTCATCCAAATAGTGCTATCCGTCACAGCAACACCCCCGTTGTTCGAAGTGCAATAATTCAACGTCCAGCGAAGGCGTTTGTGTAGTTGCGGACCCCGTCTCCTCGCAGCGAAGACCGTACGTCCGCTGCCCACGGGTCTCGGTGCGGATCAAACGGCAGCTGTCACGGCACAGCGGACTTCCAAGACAGTCCGCTTTTCAGCAAGTCAGGCTCGATTGGGAAGGCCTGCAGCTCAGGTCTCGGTTGCATCAATGGATCGACGAACTCTAAAACCGTTCGCCGTATTTCGTCCCGTCTTGAAGCTAGCTAAGCAGCAGCCCAGGCAAAATGATCTCTCGACGATACGCTCCAAAATTCTGTTTTTGTCGTCGTCCAGTTCACGTTTCAAACACGTTACCCACACCCCATCCGTGTTACCAATTTGTAGTGTTATTTTGCCGTGAAGCAAAGGGGTATAGGCTTCAATAAAACTGGAACGAAAACATACACACTGACTCTTCTATGTGATTTACTTGTCGAGCTGATTTATTTTGCTTCTGTCCACCGAAAATCATGCCGAAACTTCCCTCATGTTTCCAAATATCATTCTGCCACTCATTTTTTCTGTTGCGCGTACTCTTTTCCCGCGCCTCCAAATGTATACATTGTAATCATTTATTGTCTAGCGTATGACCCTGGCGACCTCGGCGGGTCTGCCCAGATACGGATACTTTTTATAGGTCTTGTCTGACGCCCTCTCTTGATCGCAATAATAACACAAAAATGCATGGCCTGACAAAAGATTATTTCGCTACATACATAAGGAAGAACGCATATTAATTTGGCAAAATAATGCATAATATGCAGGTGGCATCAGTCTTTACAGACTTGTTTGTAGGAATAGATGAATCTCCACTGAATATCAATTCAAAGGGATTCCATTTTTTCATGAGAGTCTAACGGTACAGTTGTGTTGACAATGGAATATCCCTCAATCAATGTCTGTACTAAGGCGAAAACCTGTGCACACGCGATTACGTTAGAACAGATATTTAGTCAGCTAGCAGGCCTGCGTGTACATGTATTGAAAATATAACAGTAATGTCAATTATGCAATAGAATATATGCAGGTGGAGCATTCAAATTAAAAATGCCGATTTTAGTCGTTTTTGTATTGATTTAAAGCAGGATTTAGATTAATGATTAAAATAATTCAAATCAAACAACCCTGTTCCCCAAAAATACTCTACAAAATGCATATCAAGTATAAGAAGAAAGTCATCGGATAAATCGATCTGTCTGTGAAATGTATGTGATTCAACACATCTGAACTAAAATTTGTCTTAACATTTTAAACAGAAATTCAATGTTTGCTATAAGTTAGCAATATACCATTGCAATGCTAATAATCTGAATAAAAAAGGTGATTAAATATGTATCTGTGTATCGAATGAATCATGATCCAAAAGCAAGATTAAATCGAATCAAATGAAAATCGAATACATGTATGAGCCTTTATACAACACTCGGTGCTAACTACAATCATTGTTAGATCTCCAACTCTGCAACTTTTTAAAATAAATCTTTCGAAGTCATTTACCAACTTATTCTGGTATTTTGTTAACCTGTTAAGCCAGTTTGTTTTTCTACATTAACTGGCAACCATTGAGCAGCCTCAGTTACCTTGCTTAAAGAACTTCTTTTCAAAATTGCTATTTTTTTGCACCTTCGACAGAACACTCTCCTTTCACCATTTTTAAAACACTTTTAAAGGTAAACAAGATATCATCTCAATGAAATGAGCTACATTTCATATTTATTTCGCAGAAGAATGCAAATGCACGTGTCATCTGTCTAAGTATATAGGTCTTTACTGGTGTTCCAAATATACAAATTATGTCAATTATGTAATACAATATTTATTTTAATAATTAAATGCTGAAAAACAAATGTGTACAATACGTTAAATAAAATAACATTGCTATTAGTGTTTGCTCCAAATTTTAGTTTTATAGCGATACCGACAGTCGATAATTTATTGATAACTTCACCATTTTTTATATAAATGTTTTGTGCAACTTGCAAGAATCTGTAAGGAAATTTCCCAGTCGGCAAGTTATCATTTGCAAATAAACATTGTATGGCTTGTTATTATTTTACTGTTTGTACAGGAATGTACTTTACGAAGCTAATGGTTATATAATACAATACTGGAAAATCACTGTGTATTTTAGAAAAAACGGTTCAAGTATTATTATAAAATGTGAACATTTTTATCTTTAAAAACAATCATGCATGCACTCATTTGAGGGAAATCCGAATATTATGAAGTTCAACAAAATATTTATCTGTGAACGTTTCATTCAATGATGGTGAACCACAGTAATACCTCAGATTTAAATACCACAGTCCATAAACAACAAACGTCAATCGCAAAAAAAAAATGGCATTTGGCATTGGTTTAAGACGCTTAAAAAGCCATGTTTTAGCTATTAGTTTAGCCTGCCACCTTCTATATATTGTAAACGATTTCATTCCAATACACGGAGAGAAAAGACTAGAATCTTTTTTCTTAGGAATGAAAGTGAGCAAGAAGCGTGTCCTATTGATCCATCTTGATCAATAATGATTTTAATATATTGGCCACTTGAAACAGACTTTTTTCTTCAAACCATTTTCTTTTCGGATATTTCTTATCTGGGAATGTGCAAGACACTTTATCTAATGACAATTTTATTGACATAATCCAAGGGATCACGGGCGGCGGTCGCATGGCTCCCGCTGGTTTCTCTGTCACTACACGGTCCGTCAGCACCAAAGGCGGTCTCCTGCTGCATCGGGACCAGATAGCTGTCGTCTTTGACACCAGGTTCTTCGCGATGTTCGATGGGTCGCTTACCAACCACACCCGCACTAGGAGCTGCTACGTAGTCACGGTCTCCCTCCAACAGTTCTTCCAGCTCGTTAGCAACTTGGACGAAGGTGCAACGTGATTTTGGGTTGTCCTGCCAGCAACATACCATTATGCCGTAGCTGTATCAGTCAGCAAATGTAACAAGAATCATTAGATGCTGCATGCTTGATCGTATATCAAATTGTGTCTGCACTTTTACTTGAAACCCCCGACAATACACTTTCCATTATTACTGATTACTCGAGCACATTAACCCTACATTTTTCGAAAAATGTTTGAGAATTGAGTTACCCTTTTTTTGAAACCCCAAACAAAACACTCTTCACAGTTTCTCACAACTACAGAGTGTTATATTCCTTCTTTAAAGTAAGAAAAACCTCTGAGAGTGAAACAGATTCCTTCACTTTTAGAAAAAGTTGAGCAAAATACAAAGAACCATGTATACTTTTACAGCAGTTAAAACGACATTAGATGTGTAATTTTTTAAAAGTAATGGTGAGCGCTGTTTGAACATACACTTCTGGCGGGCAGTTCTTGGGAGCATCCATGCGTTGACCTCTCTTCAAGAAATCATACACATCTTGGTTGGGAATTCCTGGATACGGTTTTGCACCCTTACTGAAAATCTCCCATAGGAGCACACCGTATGACCACTGTAGAAAACCAAAGAAGACAAATATTTTTTTTCAATGTAAGAGACCATTCTAATGATGACTGTTCAATTGAGCTACCGAACAGTTGACATGAGCAAGCTGGAAAGGGTAGCCAAGATTAACGATGATTGACCAAACTACATTGTATTTGAGTCTTTATTGAACTGTTTAATGAGATCTTGTGTCAAATTTAAATAAAAACGTTTATTACTAAATTAACTTAGAAATCAGTTCGAGGTGGGCGTCTGAAGACGAAATACTCCAGCTAATGAGGGTCAGGCGCCTTGAAAACATACCCGATGTAAATTATCAATAAACTGACGTTTCATGACCGGACATCGAAGTTCATGTAGTTTCTCTTCGAAGGATAGTTCCACAGAACGCAAAGTGATGTGTTTTGCTTTCTTTTCCGTTAAGATCTTTATCTAAACATCATCTAACATTCCAATCAAAGATGGATTTAATTGCGTACTACGTCAGTCCTGGCGTTGTACACTCGACGTTCCATGGACTCGGGAGCCATCCATTTGATAGGCAGCTTAGCCTGGGCATCGCCGCTTGTGTAGTAATCCGATTCGTGCATGTCACGGGATAGTCCAAAATCCGCTATCTTCACCAGAAGATCACTATCCACCCTAAAGAGGTTGTTAAAAGTTGATATTACTTTGGGGTCACATCATTTAAGAATTGCAATGCCATTAATTCGAACTGTGGAGTTAATTCAATGAATGCATGTCCCTTGGTATCTCTGGTGCATTAAAATTATTTTCGATGAAACAGCTGACCTATTTCGTTTCGGTTTGCGGTAACACCATGTGGTAATAACTACTGCTTAGAAGATATTAGTTCTGAAAAGAACTTGTCCTGCTCATTATCAACTTTGCTAAGTAGTTTTTTGTTCTGATAAGAACAGTCCTGTTGTAAGTTCTAAACGAACTGACCGATTTCTCGTAACATTCATTTGGCTTTTACTCAAACACACATATAAAGACATGTGTAAAAAGCCCCGGATGATATAAAAGAGAGGATACACGTACATGCAATTTCTGGCCGCAAGATCTCTGTGGACAAACTTGTGCTGAGCCAAGTAACTCATACCGAGTGCAGCATGTGAGGCAAACCTCATCAGCAGAGATGTCGCCAAGGTCTAAATTGAAAGTAAAAACCTCCAATGAATAAATAAATACTGTTCTCAGATCAAAACACATGACATACTGTTTACGAAATGGGACAGCATTTTGTTCAATAAATCTTAATATTAATTATTAAACGTAACAACATGTACCAAAATCACCATTGAGTGAGCTCCAAACTCATGCCACTCATCACCTATTCTTTTATCAAACCTTCCACTACCTATTATCGACATTGATCGCTCTTGACTACACACCTGTTTCTTCTTGACCAGATATGTCTTGAGGTCACCGTTTGCCATGAAGGGTATCACCACCAAGGGGTTTTTGTCCGCGTCAAAGGTCAACCCCAGAAGCCCAAGAACGTTGACATGGTTGAAGGTTTTCATGATCAGGCCTTCTTCCAGGAACTTTACCACATTTTTCGGGTCCGAGGTGTCTATACATGTAAAAAATAAGGCAATTATATGTGTAAACTGGCACGCTAAACTTACATTTGGCCAAGCTACTACACAAAAACAGGAACTTGTATTTCAACTTATTTTCATCACCAGAGAAATGCAATAACCCAGAGACACAATCAATTCAGTTCAAGAACATTTTACAACCAACAATTCGCAATTCTGAACGAAAAGACTCTTTCGGCTCTTTCATTCAAGATGCACATTGATTAATGTTTTTCGTTCCTCTTTCTCGGTATAAGGTCATCCAACACCTCTTCTGTAACTCTAATCAGCAACAAGTATAATCAAGACCAAAATGCATACCATTCTGAAATGGGCCCTTTTTTTAACCGAGGAAAAACTTTTCAATGCTTTGTTTTGAATCCATGATACTGTCATAGAAAACATCTCTCACAAATGGCCGACATTCTCATCACCAACCTTGCACTGTCTTTACGGCCACAATTTGATCTTCCCCTGACGTATCGTGTAGAACAGCTTTCAGTACACGCCCAAATGCACCTGTAAAATTTATTCAAGTGTTTTATACTCATCTTTGCTGATTATCTTTTGCTGGTACGAAGACTAGCCAGCTGGCAGACCAACCGACCTACCGACTTACTAACAGACCCAGCGACTGGCCGAGTCTAAATAATTTTCTAAGGGTCGAAACGTGAAAATGTGTTTCATTCACGCCAATAACGGTTTGCACACACAGCCCCTTTATTCTCAGGTAAAATAACAGCTTACTCTTTGAACTCATGAAATGTTCATTGTTTCCTCGTACAAAGTCACTACCTTGTCCGAGAGTTTCCCCAAATTCCAGTTGGCTGAAGTCGATATGGATGTCGTCGGGAACAAAGCTGACCTTGTTGTTCAGGACAATGCGCTTTTGTTTTGGCTGAGTAGATTCCGACTGTTTCTGGGATCTATACCACTTGCGTCTTTTGACGTGGGAGTCAATTTCTGAGGAAAAGAGATACAATGTCGCATTAACAGTAAATAACGTAATATAGTGGTAAGTTTACGACCACGATCAGGCTTACAAATCAACAGACAAAACAACCTTTGCATGCTACACAAGATTCACAAGTTGTCTAAAATGGTAAACACAATCTTGACAAAAGAGTTCTATATTTATTTTTGTTTTTGTAGAGAAATTTGTTTCATCCTGTCTACAACTTGACAATTTACAGTCAAATGAGGAGCACGCCATTTGAATTCTTTTGCCGTGTATTTTACCATCAAAACCGGCTGCCCGTTAGCGGCCACCTTGAGAGTTTTTTTAGAAGTAGAACATAATTTAATACGGAGATGTGCAGCTACGTACTGTTTAATTTGTTTCTTAACTATCATAATTATGTTTGAAAATTAGGAATTGATAAGTAGCCGGTAGACACAAGTGATGAAGGATAATTGGCTTTGAAATTTGAAAGGGTTTCGTGTTGTTTACCATTTCGCCGTCTTGCGATCAAGTGATTTTAACTTACAAGAGCATACTCATATAGACTGAGATGATACTCTCTCTTCACCGCAGTTTTGTGCACCTGTTTCTAGCACTCAGGAAATAAATATTCGAGTAAACTGAAGTCATCTCTTGCCACCAGCACTTACCGAGATGAATCGCCACTATCCTGCCCAATAGTCTTCGGTCGTGGGTGCGCTTCCTTTGCAATTGTTTGCAATACACGAAGGTAGCAGCGAGCAGTATCGCCATGGAGAGTGGAATGACCAAACTCGGTACGAGTATAGCGACAAGTGGCACCGTACTGGGATAGACCAAATAGCCCAACCTAAATTTTAAGTTATTGTGGCGAACCTATGGAATAACACAAATGAAATAATAAACGATTCAACATAGACTTGAATAAACGATTCAACATAACTGACATAGACTTAACCAATTTGTTAGTGTCAACGGTATAATAATCACTTTTGAAGAAACAATCAACAATGACAAAGTAGTGTAATTACGTTTTTGGGAGAACTGGCCGAATGTTGGGTGTTTTTTAACCTTTCGGATTGAGTAATACAGATGTTCAATCCATCTGAGGAACAATGTTTAAACCTTGCTTAATAATATTCAATCCTAGATGAGCCGCTTTTCTTGGTCATTTTACAGCCAGAGGGGTCTTCTCTTCAGATTTCGGGAGTGTAATGACCGAATATTATGAAATTCTTTGACCGAAGAAATAATGATTCAAATTTGTTAATTGGTTTGCTTTCATAATGTCGAAACAACTGAACAAAAACTGAGAAAGAACATCACAGTTACAAAGTTATACTTAACATTTATTTGAAAAGGTCCAGAAAAACTTCATTTCTTTTGGATGTTTTAAGGATATAATATTAAATAAGCACAATGAAAAATTACCCGCAAGTTTGTAAGGGCGTACAGTGGCGGATCTATACCGGGAGGGTAAGGAAATAAGCCTCCCCCTTGGGGCCGCACAAGAAGGAAAAATCTCGAAAGAAAAGAACAATTGAAAGCTACCCCCCCCCCCCATTCAAAAATGGATCCGCCCCTTACTTACCCATACCACAGGCAGACCTTTCCCGGTATCTTCTCCCATGTAGTCACCGGCTGCTGGTGCCTCATCGGGCAATTCACATACGAGTGTTGTCCCAGTGATCAGGCTAACGGGACATCTCTCTACGCCGATCGTCACGATGATTTCTCCAGCTTTGATGGCGCTGTCAATCCGCTCGCCCTGTCAAAGCATCCACAGGTAATTCAAGTTCAATTGTTTGAAAGGAAATTTATTGGTATCTGCATTGGTATATTTCGGAAGAGTTTAGTCTTTTCGGTTGTGACAATTAATGCTCAACACTTTTATTTATTTCTAAATACGAAGGCCATATGGCTGTATCACACGTAAGAATTTCTGTCGTTTTTCATGTACATGAACTCCTACACACCGCGTGAGGACTGAGGTAAAAAAAAAAACCTTAACTTTTATTTCACATCACATTTACATTTGCTTTTGAAATGACTGATCTGAGTGTGATATGAAGTTTTGTAACTCAGCAAGAGTTACCAAGTTAGGCCTACTGTATTTTTTGGAAGATCCACTTGATTCAGGAGGAAGAGACATCAACTTGAACTTATCTTGTGTCACATATGAGAGGTGTTATCACTTTGCAAAGCGCTGTACAAGTGTGCTTCGTGCACGTTTACCGACAGGCCCCATATATCTATATATACAGATAGAAAAAACAATGAAAGGATAGGCGCATAGAATAAGACACGCGTATACCAACCGTGATTGTCAAGGTTTCTCCTTCTTTTTCCTTCATACCACCTTCAAATTTGTTATACATTGGATCCTCAAAGTACTCCAAGTTGGCATCGTTATCCTGAGACCATGTCAACAGTTGAGTGACCCCATCCATGATGAAGCCAAAGGTCAAGTTTTCATTGCTTATGTCGAGGTCTGTTATGTTAGGAGACGGGCATTGCATCTCTGTTGCAGATTCACCTTGACATTCCTGCGAAATAAAGACCCACATCAGTAAGTTGACAATTCTGTCCAGCATTAGCTCCGGTTGACAATGGCACCCCTCTTTGTTTCTACTTTAAAACCGAAATGTGTTTAATGATGTAATGGCTGTCATTCTTTACACAGTACCCTTATTGCAATGTTCACATTTTAAGTGGTTGTTTGCGGTAACTTAGTAAAATAGAAGTTTTAAATGTTTCCTAATTATATATGTTGGAAGAATGGAGCAAGTAGATATAATAAAGGAGGTTAAGCGAGGATAGGGCAGATATAAAATCATTTATACAGATAATAAGTATAAAACATTTCTCACCTCATTTGCATTAGTGACAACGATTTGACGGTTTCTACTTGTGTTTAGAAAAGTGCCAGTAACCGTCAACATTCGACCACCCCTGACAATTAAATTACCGATAGCAAATACTGAAAATATATTCTATACACTGAAAGATATGGGCTGGTGTAACATCACTCTAAACAATTCAGAAATGCACGAACATGTTCACTTTCAGATATTTGAGCAAATGACATTTGGAAGTTAAGAATAAAGCATAATAGTTCACTGTTCACTCAGTTAACAGTTGTCTTCAGTAATAAGAAGATTTGTATTAGTCTGCTTCTGAAAACAGCCATGCATAAACTTGGCTGCAAGCTTGCTACTTGACAGTGTATCGCGTATCTAACAGAAACATAACATTTCACTAATACCAGGACCATTTTCTTGTTTGTGTATATACCAAAAACACTATACCAAAAAGCTATATTTAAAACACAGACATTTTCATAGGACAATAGAGGCTGTAATAAAAACTAGGTAGAAATAATGTGGTCGATACAAATTGAAGTATATACCAAAAACACTATATACCAAAAAAGCTATACAAACTAGCCCATCATGTTAAAACAGATGAAGACAAAAAAATCATGCAGACTCACGAAACGATGCTTTTCAGAGGAGAGACCTCAGTAATGGTGGGATTCTCAGTGTACATGTACGTGTACAGATCTGCTGAGGTTCTCATGGCCCCATCGAAGGAGACTTTCACAACACCTTGATATCCAACTTGGCCAGCAGTAGTTGTGCATTCTAGCATGGATTCAACCGGTTTGCTTTACAATTTGGGAAAGAAAAAAATCACTTGAGACAGAGGCCATGTAAAATTTTCTGCAGGGACGTAAACGTGAATTCATCTCTGTGTATGATGCTCCTTAATACTGAATGGATGTAAAGCAATTATTTTTCAAGGTAATTGGAAATTGGACAGGATAAAGTAGTTTTTTATAATGAAATATATTACTAACAAAAGCCGTTCCACAAAGGTGGGAAAGGAAAACCTTTTTAAGAAAAATTAAAGCAACTGAAGCTTGATAGAGGTCCAAATGATTTTGTCGAAACTAGAAATTGTACCGATGTTGGGGAGATCCCTCTTTTTCCTGAATTAATAATTATCGTACAAAACACTGTTATTTGTTTCCAATGAATGCTTCAATAAATGTCATTCCACTAAGGGGAAAATTAGACAATGCTTCGATTTTTGCCGTATGCGCAACAAATTGAATAATGACGTGTATTAAGAAAAAGGCACAATACCTTATTGTTATGCTACAAGGATTGTCGCCGATGAACGCTTCAATATTGCGTCCTGTGTTGAGAGCTGTGCCATTCACACTAACTGCCGTCCCACCGGCTTCTGGGCCAAGGCGGGGTTGGAAATGTGTAATCGATGGGTCCTGTTAACAAAATACATCTTATTAAAACAATTTTAGAACTGTGTTTGTCTCTTACACAATTTCTACAACAATAATATTATTCAAATTAGGTTTTGCCCTTCACCGACGTTTAAACACTGTATACTCAGTGTGTAACCTCCCGAGTAAAAGTTTGAGTCCCACCCGAGTGATTTTTTTCCAACTTTCACTCGGGAGGTAACACACTGAGTATACAGTATTTAAACGTCGGTGAAGGGCAAAACCTTATTTGATTTATATCATCCCGACGCAAAATTCCATCTTATATAAAAAATATGCGGTACCCGCTGCTATGTACATCAGATTCGAACCAGCCAACCGATCCCGTTAGCTCGGTGGTTGAGTGCATGGTAAGACATCTGCACTAGAAAGCAGGAGGTCGTGGGTTCGAGTCCCACCCGAGTGATTTTTTCCAACTTTCACTCGGGAGGTTACACACTGAGTATACAGTGTTTAAACGTAGGTGAAGGGCAAAACATAATTTGATTTATATCACCCCGACGCAAACATTCCATCTTATAAAATTATATTATTGTTGGAATAAGTATTTTCTAGTTACACGTGCATAGAATCCTCGAGTATTATTGATTTTAAATATTTTGACGTTTCAAACGTAAATCTGACCTACGTTTTAGGAAATTCACTCAAATGCCTGGGATTTTCCCAAATATCCTCAACTCAAACATAAATGTTTTGGTATGAGATTATCAACTAATGCAGCTAAAATATATGTTATTATTGCTCCAGCTGACATAATGTGGTGCCGAACTGCTAGGAAGGGAACATTCGTGAACAGATCTGGACCTCATTCTTGATCATTCATTCCGTGATTGCTATTTCAGTGTAAAAACATTTTCTTGGACGCTTGTTCATTTTCCAAGCTGGACCTCAGTGGCTGAGTCAGTGTAAACGAGTGCGTGCAGGACGTGACTTACTTTGAATTTGAAGTTGACTGTTCCTGAGCTGTGCTGCAGTGTAGTACCATCTGCACCCGTGACTGTTAAAGTAACCAACTCAGCTTCTTCACTTTCTGGTCTCGTTCTGCAGCTGACACTGAAATATAAAGTGATAATGTGACATTAAGACAAAGAGGTTGAGCAAAACCTTATCCACTATGTACACTTTTAAAATTTTACAATGTTCCACAACATGGCAACAAAAGTACAAGGTAATGTCCTTGCATAAAGTATGATTTGACCCTACCTTGCTCCAATTTGGTAGGCTGAGCTTAATCCAGCCAGATCACAGGGCTGATTGCCAACCATCACTGACACGACATCCTCAAATCTCCGACCGATATCAGTTCCCATCACATCTATAACTGTGTTGCCTTCAATGGGCCCAGTCAAGGGAAATACCTAATGCGTGATTTTGGAAACATAATAACATAACACACAAAAACAAGTGCATGTAACATGAAACAAGCATTTCAATACAACACATTATTAGTAAAGATGCATTGGTAAATGCTCTTGAAAGACAACTTGTTCAGCTTGGTGGCTCATATGCAGTCATCCATAATATAAGCCTACTTTATAGACCATACACCTTTGCTTATGCAGTCATACGAATTGGGGTTTTTCATCTCGCACATGACTAAATTTCCCTTTTTTACCTTGTCACAAAGGCAGGTCAAATGGATACAAGGTGTGCTTCATTTGGAGGCAGTAGTCTTCCATACTTCGTGATAAATATGGATAATTACAAACACGTTGACAAGTAACCTCGCCTGGAATATTAATAAAGAATATTCAAGCGAATAATATTCAGCTGGAGAGTTTATAGCTTACCTCACTCAGAAGTGGATCAGGGCAGTTCAATCCGTTATCCAAAGTCACCATATTTTCACTGCAAACTTCATTCAGTTTGCAAACACCAGATTCGCTTGGCATGGCACCACACCAAACACATTCGAGCGCTGGGCGGGCTGTAACACAACGGCTGCAGTCTGGCTTCTGGACTTCACACTTGTACAACGTTACTGTTTGATATGAGCAGAATACAAGATAATCTCATGTCTTTCAACTCGGCATTTTAAAGAACAACCTCCAAGTCAAAACTGTTGATAACAAACGATGAAAAGCATATGAAGATTTTTTTTTAATAACGCGATATACCCATTTCAAAAAAAGTAATTTGCACGGTTCTGAACTTTAAAGAATATTAAACAAACATCATTTCGCTTTATTGTATTCTTAAATTCGATACTGACTTTGGGCAGCCAGGAGTGGGTGTGATTCTAAAAGGTAACAAACTGACGTTTTTCACGTTTTGGAAATAATCTCATATTATATATAATAATATAATTATGCAATTAATTCAGAATATGAGCTGATCAAACGTTGGCATATCTCTCCTCTGGACAGACTGTTTCGTACCATTAGGCACTCATCTGCTGATGAGTGCCTTATGGTACGAAACAGTCTGTCCAGAGGAGAGATATGCCAAAGCTTGATTAGCTCATATTCTGAATTTATGGCATGATTATAGCTCTACAGAAATGTATCGAGCACTGTGAATTGTGACAGAAGACGATTTCATTGGATAATAATATAATTATGTATAAATATTTTAGACTGACGAAATCGTAAATCTCCTCAAATTATTATCAATCGGTCCTTATTCCTTACCATCAAATTCATGTATGTCGTCCAGGATGTGCGAAGCACCGCTTGTGTCAGTCCATGAAACAGACAGTCCCACTTCCAGCTCTGGTTCATCATCGGAGAGGTAAGTGTACTGTTCAAGGCAAGCAAACAATCACCTGTTAGCAAGGGCGGATCCAGAACACAATTTTGGGGGGGGCAAAAAAAAATTTGGTCCCCCCAAAAAAGTGGGTCTCAAAAATTACGGCGTGGGGTTCGGGGCCCGTGAAAATTTTTGGATTCTAGATGCTCTGTGGTGCGATCTGAGGCAATTTCTGACCACTTTAACCAATTTTTTTTGAGGAAAAGATGGTGGTGTACTCATTGCCTGCCTTTATTGCGATGTCACATTAAAAAAAAAAAACGTTTTGGGGGGGGCCATGGCCCCTTTGGCCCCATCCGCCCTTGCCTGTTAGTATGCATAATACGTGATTACTTTCATTCTTATATAAAAAAAGAACCACATTAGCAATCCAAGTCACAAAATAAGTTGGAATTTAACTTACAGCCTTATCTTGGCATGTGATCCTATCTCCAATGCGTTCTGCATTAATAGCCTGAGGTGATCCCTCTACATCTAAGCTGCACCGATAGCTAGAAATCTGCACATGGGAAAAACACACGACTAATATTGATCTACACAGTTAAGTGAGTCAGGGAAGAGTAAATTTAAGATTTACTCGGCAGTATTAATCCCATCATATCTGCGTTTCATAGACTTCAGTGAAGGTCTTATAAAGTAAACAGCGTTCTTTAAAAGCTCAATACAATGCGATGCCAACATTTTTAATGCAGTTATTCAGAAAATCCAATAAAGGTTAACCGATATAATGTAGACATGCATAATGATTTGCATGCCACCAAAGGACAATTGCAGCTTATTATCCAAACAACATTAACCTATATCTAAGCGCATGCAATGTTTACGATGATATACATTTGCAAACTGCACCGGGCCCACCTCAAGTGCATACGGTCCAAAAGATCTTCTTATCAAACAATAAATGATAACTTCGCAATTCACTTTGCATTGAATGTCATAAAGAAGGTCAGATATCTAGACTAATAGCATTATAGCAAACTATTTTATTAAGTATCCCAAGGAGAAATTGTAATTTGTCTTCGAGAAAGAATTAAACAAAGTGTTAACTGGACTCAGAACAATTATGAACAATGTCACTATCAGGCATTGACGGGGGAATTTTCTGATAGACGGGGCTTAACGTGGACATCAGTTACAAACTGACATTGTTTTTCCCCAGCCATTGATAAACTAACCTCAGCTTCGTCTGGCAGGTTTGTTGTCATGACAGTGATGCTCCTCATAATGTTATTAGGAAGCAGAACTTCAGCAGTCTGGTTCAGCAGCTGAAGGCAAAACTCAGGTCCTGTGACTGCAGAGGCGGTTGGATTCTGTAGGTAAACGCCAACAAACAACAAACTATGTCATGACCTCCCCAAAAATATACATCTGCTTCGATTTGAACTTATGATCTACAGAAAGCTGATAGAAATTATCTAGTGTCCAAAATATAAATGTGATTTCAGATACTTCCAAGTGTACATGACAATTAGTGTCATTTTCAATACCTACTGCGCAAAATACACAATATTCATCTACATATAGGATTCTACAATCAAGAAATTTAAGTAAAACGTTTTTTTTTTCTTCAAATTTTGTCTTGGCTTAGCTCGTATAT